TTTGAGTTTTCAACGCTGCCACCAGGAAATTAAATGAAATTTTTTGGTGCAATAGTCGAGCATTACATATTCTTTTGCAAGCAAACAAGTGAAGCGTGAAATGTGCGAGTCTGTCTTTGACAGATTCAGTGAATTAATCAGTAGGCTTTCGTGCATAAAATGTCGAGGGAGGAGAATTTAAAGAAGAAAATTTGAATATGTGAAAGGATATTTTTATGGTTATGGCTATGAAATTGCAATTTAATTGAAAAAAAAACGAAATAAAAAACTTGTCTATAATAGGCTTTAAAACTTGAAAAGCGTTTATCTCGAAACATGATTTATCAGAACGGTCGCGGCAACAGCGTTTATAATTTTTCAATATTTCTCTTTGGTTTTTTTTTTGCAATATATTTACAATAATAATATCCCCTAGCCAAGGATGTAGAGAATGTTCGTTAATTTAATTTAAGCATTTTTTATTAATGAAAGGTTGCTTTTCTTTGACGAATAATTTAACTTTTTCATTTAAACTTTCTCGCCAATCATGCAAAAGTCAGCAAATCCTGGAAAATCTCGCTAACTGTACACATATAGATTATTGTTATTGTTGTTGTATGGACAATCCGTACCGCGACCTAAACGAGCTATTGTACTCTAGAAATGCAGATGAAACGATTTCTTTTTTTTTATTCAAATTTGCACCAAACAATGACTGAGCTGCAGGGCCTCTTCACATAAAGATGTCTCACTCATTGTGGCTTCAGTGTTGCCATTTTTTACTATTCTTCAAAATATTTCTTTTCAAGACTTAAATAGGTGGTTCACATCCTCCTCGTCTGTTATAATTCTATTACCTGCCCTTTCATTCCAAATCACATTATCAAAAAAAAAAAAAACAAAACAAAACGATTAGTTCTAAGCTCTTACTATCGCGAACGTGATTTATTAAGAATAGGTGGAGTATCGAACTTTTGGTTTTTTTTTGGGAGGTAGCAAAAGGAATGACAAAAGTAAGGCACCATCATTCCGTTTGCAATAAATACAACAACTTTTTACTGACATTTTCTTTAGAAAAGCCGGTATCTAGTGAAAAAAACTGGAAAGGTCATCGTGAGTTGTTGAAATTTTCATTTGCCTAAAGCGATATAAGATTTGTTTATATAATTTATTGATCTGTATATAATAATCCTTTACGCGTTGTGATGGCAAAGTTTTGTTTCATTATTGGCAACTAATGCTCTTTCCCACAAACACTCAAATGCCAAAAGTATATGAGACGTCTCGCCAATGACTAGTTAGCTCACTTCAACGAACAAAACGAAACTTTTATTGGCTTAAAATGTTACTTTCATATCAAATTAAAATTAATCGATGTAATTATTAAATGTAAATTCATAAAATGCATAGATTTTCGTTCGCCGCGAGATTCCATGTCTTCTCTCAGGCCCAATTTTAGATGTAAATATATGGCTAATGCTTAATATCAGTGCATCGCATCCGTGCATAATAATTTTCTTGCTCTTAAATGCTATTCAGCGAATCAACACCTGACGGCTCGCCGTGCATAACAATAAGCCGTCGTACAGTATAAAGCAAATACATTTAAATTATAGATTTTTTTCTTTTTGACACTTATGATGGTTTGTGTATTCGTAGATTTTCTTTTATTTGTAAAAATATTTGCCTTTTTCTTTTTTCGTACTACAACCAAAAGTCGATTAGGTCCTTGATGTGTTCGAGACGAGTAGTGATATCTCGGCGATAGAAGAAGGCAACTTAAAAATACAAATCCCTCTCTCCATTTCGCTCATTACTTGGGATAAATAATTCCGGTTATAAAATGCACTTTTGTAGGCGTGTGTAAGTATGAAATGAATACTTCCTTCGGCAAGTGGGGTAAATTTTGGCTTCCAATTATTCGTTCAGAATTATACATAGACAGAGCTTTATTGGCTTAATACTGAAAGTTCTGCCTAAAAATTCTTCGCAATCCGTAGCTGACTCTCGTCTTAGCTTAACAATTATCAGTGCAAAGAAAATAGAAAATTTGAATCACTCAACAAGTTTGCGATCCGATACATGTACAGGAGCGGTGTAAAATCTAAAAATAAAAATTTTCAGTTTAACCGCAAAATCTCCAATATTTATGCGGTATTGCACTCATGTCTACCGATTGTAAATCAAAAATAGATTCAAAAAGAAAAAAACAATCAAAATTATTTTATTTCAACCACCAAAAATGTAAACTCAACCAATATTATTCTCACTCTCTCTCTCTCTCTCTCTTGCTTCATGCTTTTCGCACAATCCAGCTTAACATTTTGACCACAGCGTCATGTAGTCTAGCAAGGCTTTGCTTACAATCGCAAAGCAAAAGCAAATTCATAATACATAAGCAAATAAAGCGGATTTTGTGAGCACTTTTTGACTGCTAACAATGTTCCCAACAACGGGACTACTTTTGCCCTTTCATTAAAAGAAATAAAACGGCTTTTCTTAAAGGCAAACGAGAATCACATCAAATAAATAACTTATAAGAAAAGCATACAAGTACATCACTGTATACTTTGTCAACAAAATCTCGCATCTAAAGGAATTGCATGAGTTTGTTTACATCCATCCAACTTATGAAATTATAAACAACCTGACGTAAGAGAGGCAATATGCGAAAATCGTTTCGTTTCATCGAAATTTAAGGGAAGGGCATACACTGTTAAAAATTGATTTTCGATTTTTTTTCATAAAGCTAAACTTAATTTTGCTCGCATTGATTTTGCCAATGTTGTTGCGCAGGCAATGATCTTTGAATATTACTCAAAGAGCACTTTTTCCATTAATAAAAGGATTCCATAACGTTTCCGTGAGCCCACTTCACAAATGTGTACAAAATATTTCCACTTATGTTCAGCTACTTGCTTATTATACCTTCGAAGACTTCGTGTGCCTCACACCATTTCATATTTAGTCGAAAACTTTCTCTTGATGGAAACGAATTGCGGTCTGTTTTTTTTTCTCTTTTTTTCTATCAATGACCAATCACTCAGAGGATCTCCTCTATTCGTGTAACACGATCACGATCAGCAGAGAGGCAAGAGAACAGGAAAACAGGAGGAAAAACAGCTGGAAGGCCAGAGATTTGAACCCGCGAACGTAAACTTGGTTGTCGCGATTCTTACTTCGGCTACTAATGCGGCTATAATCAATCACTCAGGATATACGTTTGCGCGTGTAACGCGTTGACGACCAGAAACAAGTGTGGAAAGGGAGAGAGATAGGGCAGTTGTCTAGTGGATTGAACTATGCTTTTACTAATCGGGCACTCGCTATGACTTCCACCAAGTATGGTTAAACTGTCGATAGGAGGTGAAACCCGCAAACACCGTGAGTCTTATCTACTCGGCGTCCTTATGTCATCGTTAGGCACGGCTAAGCATGCAAGTACTCTTCGGATTACGCTAGCATGTAAAGTACACCAAAGAGCTTTCATTGCTAACAAAAGACTATCTGCGTGTGACCTCACTTTCCAAACTGATAATCAGTTTGACAGCAACTTGACTTGACTTGATTAACCTTCTAATTTGTTTTTGTTTGCATAAGATTTCGATTTATTGCACAACATTCTCAACTTCCTGCACAAGTGTCAAGATATTAAATATCCGGTATAAAGGGTCTATTTGAGATTAATTCGATGCATTCTTTCTACACTCTTTCATGAAAGACTTGTAATTAAAAAGCACTTATTCACGAAAATTCCATGCAATGCAATTTAAATAAACTTTTTCATATGTAATTTTTTATTCACTTAATGTTGCGCTTTTTTGCTTTTCCTAATTTTTAATTATGGGCAATAAAAATTTTCTGTTGTCGGCACACGGACATCATTCCACCATATAATAATATTACACTATATAAATTATACTTTAGAGGAACAATAAAAATGACAATTTTATGCTGCTTTCTTCCGTTTTATGTTATAATCATTACTCCGAGCGTATGTACTGCGCCACGCGAATATGTATATATTTGGTGGCGCAATATACAATTTCACCTATAATTAATAAGTATTGTATGACTAAAATATGATGGGAACTTGATCTCGATCATATACATATATGGTCTGTATAGAAGTGAGAGCTTGTTAAAATTTATTCATGATTTATTATTAGCATTTATGCGCTATATAAGGTCATTAAATTTCAACGGTTTACGAAAATGTCAATTTCCTATACGTTGCTCTATACAATTTCTTTGGGTTGTTATTCCAATTTTTGACCAAAAAGTGACTCTAATCTAATATATGTGTTTAGCAAATTTCTAAGTTTCTCTATGTTTGGCTTTAGGCCGGATTGCAAACGGATTGGCAAAATCAATAGATTGGTACTCGTGGTAGCTTTGCAAATAGTAAAATGTGGTATAATGTAGAAAGTTTAAATGCGATTAACGTAAGTGTGTAAATAAGTACATATGTATATATAAACCTCTACAATTGCTGCATGAGTTTGTATATTTTTGTAGTAATTTTATAGCTGGTCAATGGCTTCTTAAATGTGTTTGCATTTTGTTTTTCTTTTTTTTTTTTTTTGCTTTTGCTTTTGTTTTTGTTTTGTTACTTCCAACGGCGCGAACTTACCATAGGGTTATATACCCTGTAAAGTTCAGTCACTATTTTGTTTATTATGATGTCCATTAATAATGTGTTGTGTGTACGGTTTACATTGACGTTAGGGAAACTTTAAAAGTGTGTCGTATACTTCCAGACAAGCAGTAAAACCGTGCAGCTATAAAGGAATTGCGGTTTATTGGCTTCGTGCCTCTACCCAACCCGATTGTCGATATTTATGCTGATTTAAAACGATATTAAAATAGATATTCTTTTCTATTTTTAAAGTATTTCGCCTATAAAAGTTATAAATAATGTAAATAATGTTAGTTGTAGTTTAATTTTTTTACTTTATGATAAACAATTAGTTGCATTGCCATTTTAAATACTCAATGTTGTTTTCATTTTTTCTTTTCAGTGAATCGCACTTATATCCAGCCACACACAAAACCAGATGTACGCATGTCCGGTAACTTTAGAACCGCAAAAAATTAAATACTCAAAATTCATCTAAGAAGTAAACTCTGAGAAGAAATCTATTATCAGCAAAATGTTGGATCGATGTGAAATGCCGGTAAGTATTGTTTACTATGAAACGTTAGGGTGTACCATAAGTTTCTTGCTTTTTTTTTTTTGATGCTAAACCAATAGACGGCATACACCATTTTGACGAAACAATTATGTGCCGTTGTGTGCCCTATATCGCGGGTTTTCTTGATGAGGTCCGTATCCGTCGTTGCTGAACAGCCGCTGCGGTCTTTAACTTTCAGATCCAAATATACACTTAAACCTGAACTGTATTTTAAAATGCCACAATTGAGTTACATACGCGACTCAAGTAACCCGGAAGGTAATTTTCCTTCGAAATCCCCGTCAATTAGTTTTGTCTGAAAGTGGCTACCTGATGTCGCTCTGTAAGGGTCACTTTTCACTGCAGCTTTATTTCAAGATTTATTTTGAAAGACATATAGTCTAAGCGGACACACCATTCGTCCAAAAAGGTACCTCGACAAGTAATATGTGCAGAACGCCCTTGCTTGGTCTTGAATTGCATTTGATAGTTTTGTTCTTTATGTAGATACAACATCAGCGAAGTAAATCATCTATTGTTAATTCACTGAATTCCGGAATAAAGCGAAGGTGTTGCAACTCATTGCCTTACCGCCATTTCAAAAAGCATTTTACTCCATAGGCAGTTAAGGCTACTACTTTCTACTTTGTAATGGAATGGAAACATTGTGTGCACAAATAAGTTCTAAGCGTTTCTTTTTTTCTATACTTCAATCTCTACTTGGAGAAATTGAAACAGTTTACTTTATTCAAAATATTGTCCTTCGTTAGTTACGACTTGTTCGCATCTTTTCGGTAATTTTCGAGTTCGAGCTCGAAAAAAGTCTTGCCCTTGAAGAAAGACCTTTTGAGTCTCTCCCTAAAAATCGAAGCACTGTTCGAACAAGTAAGAAGTCATTTATTAAATCCTTTGCTAATCGTTAGGACCAATATCTGCTAAAAACAACAAGGAAAGTAAGACATTTCAAACTAGAGCTGCAAGTGTTTTCTGAGCCAATTCCTTCATAGCAAAAAGTCACTGGGATATATGCCCACTTTTTTGCCGTAATTACATCAATTATTGGTCGTGGTGTTCTTTGGGGCAGCCATCAAAGATAATCAGCCTTTTCGTCATTATTGTTGGTTCACATACTTTCTATCGTACCTATATAAGCTATGGATATTGTAGCGCATCCGCTGTTTATCACTGCTAAGAATTGGACAATTCTTTCGAAATCGGTTCGAAGCATTCTCAATTTTTTCGGTTGGCGGATAAGCTTCGTAGAATTTATACCAAACGTTCTATCTTCTATGTACAATTTTTGCGACTTTTTAATCAAAAGAATTCCAATTGGATCAAGATTTTATACATTATTGCGTTTCTGATATGCAATTAAAAGATGACAAGCATATTAGAAATGGGCGCGAAATTTCGAAAAAAGATATACATCCGATCAGTTTACTCTTACGTTTCTTATCTTCTCTCAATGTAATGAAAATTTTTACTTTGAGTCAAGTTTTCCTTTCGACTCATATTTTCGAAAAGAATAAATAATATTTTTTTCTCTTTTTTAAGGTTCAGATCGACAACGATAACAAGTGTCGTCGTGATCGTGATGCACGTCTTTCCAATTCACGTCTTGATCTACCGTCTCTATGCAACGGTGGCAGCGGAACTACACGTGGCTCATCGCGTAATGGCCGCTGTTTAGAAGGTCATGTAACTAATGTACATCACCCTGTCAATGTTAATCACCATCATTATCATCATCATACGCAACAACAACAGCAGCAGCAGCATCGTCATACAACATTACCGCAGCGTAGTCCTATCAACACCAATATAAATCACAACAATAATAACAATAATAATAATAATAATAATAACAACACCAACAACAACAATAGTAGCACCAATAATATGAATAACAACAATAGTAATAATAACTTAAATTTAGGATCACCAGTATCGTCATCAAATACCGTTTCATCGCATGGCAATAGCTCGAGCGGTGAGCGCGGTTCGTCAACCAAATCAAACAGCAGCAGCGGTAGTGTTCAATCGGGTAGAGATGACATCAAATGCATTACACCGATGACACCATCAGGTAAAGCAAAAAAAAAAAAAATCCTAATAATTTTCTTAATAATTTACAATAATAAAAAAAAAAGAGTCATTTGAATGCAATTATGAAAATTAAATGAAACAAACTATCGTTTATTTAAAAATAATAATTTGATTTATTCAAGCTCCTTGACATTTTTTTTTTATTTTTTTGCATTTCAACTGTTTTCACTTCAAAGAACACTCTTCTGGTTATTTTCATTAACATACATTTCACTTGGCTTTCATTAAAGGTCAAGGATATTATGCGAAAGTTCGTAACAAATGCAAATATTAATAACAATAATAATAATAATAAATGAATACCTAAAAAGAAACTGGATCTCCCTCTCTCTCTCTCTCTCTCTCTCTTTCTCTCTCTCTCTCTCTTTCTTTGAAACAGACCACTTTGAAAAATATAAATAAAAGGACCAAGAATAGCAAAAGAATCTGTGTTCGCCTCAATGCGAGCGTTAACTTAACACTTAAGACTTAATATGAAAATATAAGAGTCGCTTGGGTTTTCTGACGAACACCTCACTTGGCTTATTGCATCATTTTTATGGATATTTTACGTGACTTTGAAACCCTGATGACAGATATTTTACTGCTTACAAAATCTCTTCTGGCTTTTTAACCATTACGAATGCCTTTAGTTCCCATTGCTTTTATGCTTTTGAAAACTCAATCACAAATTTCTATACAATTCAATATTTCCAATATCGTAAATTTCAACAAACGTACGATAGTTGGAGCTGGAACGCGATAACCCCAGAATTGAGAGAAATATTTAAGTATATGTTGATCTTGCATAGAGCGAAAACATATATTTCTCGTATATCGTATTCTTTTCCGATCTTTCGAGGTTAAGTGTTATAAACAGTCAGGCAAAATTAATATACTGCTTTTTTCTAATAGTAAAAGTGAAATTGAACAAAAATATTACACGTATAAAACGTAGGCAAATCAGCAAAAAACAATAAACATTAATTAGAGCCTCTTTTAACAAGAACTAAGAATATAACTGATGAAGAAAACTAAGAAACTTATTGCAATTCCTGTTTATGAAGAAATAAAATAAAAAGAAAATTTCAAAAGCATAATAAACAAAGCATTGAAATTTAAATGAACTCAACACAAAAAAAAGAAATCTAGTTCTCCATCAATTTAGTTATACTCTACAACGTTTGTAGTACGGGACATATTAAGCGTGTGTGATGTTTGAAGGACTTCCTATATCGACCGATTCAGGATCAATTTTTGAATTGATTACAGCGTGTACGTCCTTCTGTCCGTCTCGCATATTTGTTTGTAATCTACAGGTCACAATATTTGAGATATTTTGATAAAATTTGGTACAACCGTGTGTTTTAGATCAAGAACGAATCCTATTGAAAACAGTTCAGATTGGACAACTTTTTCGGGTACCGTCAATATACCGTCTTTTTCTTTTTAAATCGTTATATAAAGTAATTTGCAATTTAAATAAAAAATTCTTGACAAAAATCGATGATCAATCGTGTCTCCGTATACTGGATTCATGAGAACAATTTGAGTGGGCCGATGTTTTGAACCTCCTTGTTCATAACCGTTCCTATGAAAGATAAGTCGTTATATGCGCAAATGTCCTAATTTTTAATATTTCATAGTCCATAAGTTCATAACAGTCGTTTGGCAACACAATCAACTGCACACATACCTCATCACGGAGAAGAGTGCTGGCGAGAACTAAGCCTTTATATGGTAAAAAGATCTTCTTTTTAATATTTTATGGTGAAGATTAGACCGTAATAGGAACTTGACCTAGGAACGAACTGTACCATGTTTGGACTACGTAGGTGTATTTATCGAAACACACCTTGTAAAAGGTTACTTACTAAGAAAAATACTTAATATAATGGCCTGAACTCCAACAAATGTGTATGAAAATCCTTTGCACCGCAAAAAAAAGTCGAATATTTATTAGCTTATGATGAAGACTAACTTCTCCAAATTTAGACCTAGCGCTGGGGCCTCTTCTACATAGCGGCTCGCATAAAAACGACGGTTTTATTGCATTAGTGGGAGCGGGATGCGGCATTTGATTCTCGACCTTGCCAGACAATAATTTTCTTTTTTCTTATGGTAAATGAATAGTTTACTGATTCTCAATCTAGTCATAATATAAGATAAGGTAACGTAAGTCATTTCATATCCACCTTTCTTCCTATGTAAGGTATAAGTTTTAACTAAGAGTAAACTATGGCAATTTTGACCCTCAAAACAAACCGATCAAGCGGATTAAGCACACCGCGCTATTTTTCTTACCGTTATACTTCTTTTCTGTAAACATGAATTAAATTCATTTAATATGCATTTGCTTGTTGTAAATAAATCTCAACAAATTACTTTCTCAAAAAATATTTAAAATGAAAGAGAGAAGAATTTTTAAATGTCAAAAAAGAAATGCAATAAAATTGTAATATCTACTATAAAACAATGATATGTAAGGTTTGTCAATCCGCTTGTGATATCAAGAAATATTTACTTCATTAGAGTAAATGTATTTTTGTTGTTGTAGTATGTTGAAAAAGAGCTCGTACTGCATGCGAAGACGTCCGCAGTACTTCGTTTTAAACTTCAAGTGTAGCCTAGGTGATCTACATCGGACGATTTAACCCTTTCTACGCCTGACTTTTTTTCACCTACGCCTGATTTCTTAATTGATAATTTCGAATGACATGATCCCGACTCTTTGTCAACGCAGGAGTTTACGTAAGAAATGCAAAGTCGACACACAGCCACTGCAGGAGTATAAAGGTTAATCCTGGTCTCTGAAGATGCTCACAACCAATAAGTACTAGGTAGTTCGGAAAGTAATTTCGTGTTTTATCCGAACATACGACCTGATTGTATTCTTTCACAGCGAACTTCGCACTTATGCCGCCTAACCGCTACATATGTAGGCAGCTGAAATAGTAAAACTTATATGCGAATATTATAATGTACCCGATTTTCATATATTCAGCTGATATGGTGTAACATATAACTTAACCATAAAGTTACTTTTGAATATGTTCTTGTGCATCAATTGTTTTGTAACGAAAAGTTTTGCTTTTAATTTCTTTCTAGAACTTGTCAAGAAATATAGTAATTTTTTAACTGACATGGAATTTGAAGAGTTAAAAGTCTACAAGGAAATCTGGTATTTCGGTCAAAATGCTAATAAAAATAATTATAATAATAAAAGCTCAACAAGCACTAATTCTGGTTATGATGATGAAAATGGCAATTATAAGATTGTAAGTGTGACTTACTTTCTATTTTTATTATTATTTTTATTTTTTTTTTTAAATTAATTTACATATAATTAAGAAAAAACTTTCATTTAATATTGCTTACAGATTGAACATGATCATATCGCGTTTCGCTATGAAATTTTGGAAGTTATCGGTAAAGGTAGCTTCGGTCAAGTTATACGAGCTTTGGATCATAAGACTAATACGCATGTTGCCATTAAAATAATAAGGAATAAAAAGCGTTTTCTCAATCAGGCTGTGGTAGAATTGAATATATTGGATGAGTTACGTGAAAAAGATGCCGATGGATCTCACAATGTTATACATATGCTCGATTATATATATTTTCGTAAGCATTTATGCATAACATTCGAACTAATGAGGTAAGTAGTCATTAATTTTATTCATTCTTCTTCTTTGGAATTGCCCCGCTTCAATTTAATATGATCATAGAATAATTCACATATTAACATATTTTCGGTAACGTGCTCTACTTATTTTGTTGATAGACACCAAACACATTAAACTCTTTAACCATAACAACACGCATAAAAAGTAAATGAATTATAATTGTGCTGACATTTATAAAAATTAGATAGTTTTCAAGGAGAGATGGATGGATGGATTTTTTGGGGGGATGGGTGGAGATGGTATAATTTATTTGATTTAAATGTCATTTTATATTACGTTAAATTACGTTTCAAGTCTTTCATTTATATCACTTTGTTAACGTGATTTATGGTAATAAAATATTAAAATCATTTACAAAATCCCTTTAACGAGAGAGAGAGAGAGCATATGTAAACTAAGTGAGCCTTCGAATATCTCTTTTATCCATTTCATGACCTTCATATGCATTAAAAATATTTGCGCTTAAAGTTAGTCCGTGACTTGTTTAGTTAAAAGTTTCATAAAACCGATTTAACCATAGTTTTTCACTTTGCTTTTATTGTTAAGAAACACAAATTAGTGGTTTTATTTAGTTTTTATTTTTTTTTTTTTTTACTTTTTTTTTACTATTTTGCTTTGCCATTTACTTTTTCATTCAAAGAGAAACCAAAAAGTTTTTTCTTTCATTGAATGCCATAGAAGCGTAAATATCGCGTGCGATACGTAATTTTGTGCGATAATGTCAAAAGTTTGACAACAATTGTAAACATTGCGTTATGCTGTACTTATGCTTGTCTACAGGTCAAAAGAAAAAAACACAAAACAAAAAATAAATAAATAAATGTACACTAATATCGTAGTAAGGATATGCGTCTTTAACTGCACAAAATCAATTAGATTTGATTTAATGTACATACGTACATATATGCACGTAATAGCAAGAACACAACAGGTAGTTGGTAGTCAACGTTTCGATATCAATCGTAAGTGTTTAATTTGTAATCCATAAATCAATGTTGCAATGTAAAAATAATAAAGAAAAACCATTTCGTGTGCAAACTTATTGTTCTAAGTTCAAAGTTAACTTAATGTAAGGCATTTTATCAGATACGGCTGACTGTGCTAGTCTTTACTAGTGCTAATGAATTTCTTGCCTACCAAAGACAAAGAATTGCATATGGCATTTAAGTCAGGTTGTTTCCTTAAATTTTTAGAGTCGATCAAGTTTTCATTGCATCTAATTTCTAAAAGTTGGGACTTAAGATCTCACACACTTTAATGTAAATCAAGCCTACGCGATTCGCGGAAATTCCGCGCAAATGCCTTTTGCTTTCTTAACGACAATCAAATTCCTGAAACGAACTGTAAGAGGTGTCCCAAAATTTTACGTTAGATTTGAATTAAATACGTAAACGAAAACGTTTATCTTTTTAATTTGAAATTTCTTTACTAAGTTATAACGTTTATACGATATGGTTACGGGCAATAGAGTCTCACGGGCAAATAGCCTTGCTTTGCTGACACATGCGCGCGAATTTTTTCACGATCATTTTGCGTAAACGTGGCTGAATTTCGTTGATGCAACGATGCATTTCCTCTTCAATGCGCGGATAGCTGTGGACTCGTTGGCATAGACCTTTGACTTCAAATAGGCCCATAACCATAGAAATAAATCCACTGATGTCAACTACTCGCTTGACAATTGACGAAATTAGATCAATATTACGATCATGTCTTATGCGAACTTTTGGAACAGTAGTCGCCAAATTTTTATTTTTTTTTTTAAATATTGTTCGACTACAAAAACGCATTGCTTATGCGGGTAATGATCAATGTTCGCTAACTCTAAACCTTTAGCTGTTTTTTCTTTTTTTGGTTGCGCACAAATGGGGGCAAATAGATATCTTGCCTAAAGTTCGGAGTACCCTATATCAGATATCTAGAGAGATGGAGATAGAAGATTGGTGAAAAAATCATATCAATTAAAAGAGAAAGAAAATATATTTGGAAATAAAAACAAAACGAATGGGTTGACTTATGGTAAAAACAATTCGAAAATCCATTTTAATATATAGCATACAACTTCAACATTTAAATTGAGTAATCCAGATCTTAGAAAAGCACTCTGAATCCCCTATATCAGCTTTTGCTTATTCCCATATATGTATATATTAATCTCATAGTTTTCAGATTTCTTTTGCTTCAATTTGAACTAAGTTAAATCTTTAATCTTACGGCAATAAGAGTTGAATTCTGCATATGCGGATAAACAAAAAATAAATAAATGAAACAACAACACATTTTCATAAAAGATTACGCATTCCCACAGTAAAAGAGGAGATTATCAATTTCAGTGCTCGATATCTTGATCAACTTAGTTATCATTCGAACTTGCTCGCAATAGCTGTAATAGACGATAGTGACGAGACGAAAAGACTGAAAAGATACCATATCTTACATCTACGTTTTATCGAATAAATTTGAAAATGTGTGTGTGTGTGTGAAGTAGAAAAATATATATATATGCGTTCACGGCTAAGATAAGATTAATAATGAATTCTTTTGTATACATTTTAAGATAACTATACAAGTTGAATAGTTTTATTCTCAATAGAGATTAAAAGTAATCCAAAAAAATTAAAGTCGGCCCATTTGCTGATTAATCTAAAATATTATTGATTGAAGTTTAGTGTACAGGCGTCCCACAGTTAATTTGCACTGAAACATTTTTATTTAAAGCCAAATGTCACATATAAGTCAAAAGAATGTGTACCGTGTTGTCTCGCATTTTAGAAGATTGCTTGAAATAATGTAACACTGCACCGTGTTGTATTGAAATCATGCTTTACAAGTTCCGTGTTAAGCTGGGAATGCCTGTTAACGGTTTGAAAGAATGTAAAACACAAAAAAAATTGGTGATCTATTCGTTAAAAATTCGTTTCAAGAGATTTCCGTTAAGAGCGCATTTCATTTTGCTACAATAAGTTTTCTAAACTACAGTGAGACTCGGCTTAATGCAGTTATTCATATAACGACTTTTCAAAATCAGGTATTATATAAAAGGTGATCGAAAAAGTGGTCCGATTCGAACTATTTTTAACAATCCTGTGGAAGAGGGATGTACTAAATTTCATTACAATAAATTTGAGAATCGCTACCTGTAGGGCAAAACAAAGCAGACACACAGGCGGTGTAATAAAATACGCGTCTACTTCAAGCCCTTCTAGCTATTGCATACATCCGCATAAGCTTACACCACAATTGGTGTGTGGTACAACAAATTGTTTCGACTTAAAGTTAAATTTTGTTTAAATGGTTTTATTTTTGTGCTGCTTTACTGTTATCTATATAGTTATGTGTAAGATTACGACTCAGTGCCAGAAACTACAAGAAATTGTAAAAGGCACAAACCGTTATAGGCAATATTAAATGAATGCACGTACGGCATGTGCATAAGATAAGTTTACCAATTCCTTAGGCGAGTGTTCTTTAAGGTTAACTCGAAACATTTTCATTTAGCACATGTCGATTACAAAAAACTCCAATACAATGCTTCCATTGAATAAGGAACTATCAATTTATAGTCTTTACACCAAATTTGTAGAAGGACTAGTGCACCGAAAGCAGAAGCAATAATGTGCGCTGTCGTACTAGAAGATTAATATTCCATCTCTTCGGTTATTGTTAAGCTCTCTTTTACTCTTTTTGTTCGTTAAAGACTTTTTCTGTTTTCGAAAAAAGCAATCATCGTTTATATCTGCAATATATAAGTTGATATATGCGTAGTACAGGAAATTAAATTTAAAATTCTAGTAAAATTTGGTTGATGTGAAGCAAGTGCTAGTAGGATGTCTTATAAATAAAGACCCTATTGCAACAAGTGCAAATAAAAATTAATTTAATGCAAACTGGCGGATGAAAAACTTTGTTTGTGGTTTGTTTAAATCTGTGATAATAAAAAATTACATAAGAATGTCACTAGGTTACTACGGTTAAAAGTTATTTACCATAAGTAAAAGCTTTGTTTTTATGCTCACAAGTCGTTGAGGAAGTGCTTTTCACTATATATATAAAAATTGTAGAAAAAAAGTCTTAGTAACCTACTTAGCCTCTAGAACGGAATAGATTTCCTTCACCTCTTTAAATGGCATTAGCGTAGCAATATTAACCCATAGAAAATGTAGATGATATGGAACTATTTTATTAAAGCGAATGTGTGTGAGTGTGTGTGTGTGTGTGTGTGTGTGTGTGTGTGTGTGTGTGTGTGTG